ATACGAATTGTCTCATATAATAATATACAAAGTATTTTATATCGAATACGTGTCCACCAAGCATTCCAGCCAAGTACACCACACTTAATAAAGTCACATAAAATATCGTGCGAAGTATTTGCTATTTATCTTTAGAAATCATCTGTTTATTTTCGATCTTGGCTTTGTATTCAGTTACATCCCGGACTGAAACAAGCTGCACTAACTGATTAAATTGGATTTGTTTTTTATCATTTGATAACGTAAAATTCACTGATAAGTAAAATGGCGGGTCAACGTTTAGAAAAAATTCACACCCAAAATGAATCTGAAAATGAAATAAATTCATCAAGAAAGTAACTTAAAAGAACATCGGTATGTAACCTTCCGAAATATATATATATATATATATATATATATATATATATATATATATATATATATATATATAGAGAGAGAGAGAGAGAGAGAGATGGTCTAAAGCATGTCGTATCTGTCTCGAAAAAAAATATATATATATATATATATATATATATATTTCGAGACAGATACGACATGCTTTAGACCAATTCTGCTCCGAAGAGTCTCGCCCATTCAGCAAAGTACGTCGAATGTAACGACGGTTTACCCAGCTGCTAGAATGATTCACGTTCGAATCCATCAGGAGGGCACATCTTTTCTTTAATAAGATTACTCGAATATTCAGGCCGGTAGACGAAAATAAATAAATGTAGCGTTTAATAAATAAACGGAGCGTCTACTCAAATAGGGGTATCCACTAAAAATAACGTTTAAGTGATAAAACTTATCGGATTAATAAATAAAAGATCCATTACCTCTTTACATATATATATATATATTTAAAGATATTTTTGTAGGTACAAAATTTAATGATCGAAATAAAAGTATAAAGTTTAATATTACAAGACATATTAAAACAGTATTAAATAATAAAAAAAACAACTCAACAACAAGGTGGGGGAAGGAACCGGTTTATATTTAAATTGTGTTTATTTAGGCAGTATCTTTTTATTCATACATGTTTCATTAAATAACATAGTGTTTTCATAACGTCTAATGATAATGTTATTAAGACTATCAGACGTTATGAAAAAAAATTTACATAAAATAAATTGACAACACTTGTCTATATTATTTAATGACACATTTTATGAATATATATATATATATATATATATATATATATATATAAAAGACACAGACCAGGGATAATGTAACACAGAAATCCGAAGGTACAGTGAAATAATGAAAAATGCCTGTCAGATTCGGAAAATAGCATCAAGGGTTCGAAAGATTTCCTTAGAAATACCGAAAACATGCTGGACTGCGATGTATACCTAATATATATAGCAATGAAAGCTGGGCAATTTATTCACAGATTCTTCATCATCATATGTGTGTGTGTATATGTGTGTCATGTGTCTACTTCTCTATGTATGTATCTATATATTTATGGATGTATATCTAAGGTGCATTTAGACAGCAATAATTCTATAATAACATTTTATTAAACAATATTACAAGATATGTCTCAAATTTATTTAGCTTTTCTAACTTCATACTAAGTTGCTTTATGTCAGAATTGACTTTCCATATTTCTTTTATGATATCCATCTTTTTATTCTATCCACATTCATAGCATCCATCCATCGACTGTTACCACAGCTGTTAACATGGTAACTAGATAGCGTGTTATAAGAATTGCGTGTGTAACAAATTCCAGCGTTTCTAAGCCTGCTGGAATCAATTTCAAGTCACTGAGAAATTATATCATTTAGAACTTTCGAAAATCAATTCGAACAGAGAATAATTTAGTTAGAAGACAGAAAAACTGAAGAAAAAGTTGGACAAAGAGACCTTATCTGTATTGTTTAATATATATGAACAAAAGCTTCAAAATCTGTCAATATTTCTGAGATGAGTTATTATGTACAATATTTACATTATTTGGACTATTGTCCTCATCTTTGGAGAGGGGAATTAACAGGAGATAACTAATAACTGACATCTATTAAACATGGCACGTGGAACTAGAACTCCAGTGAGTGAAATAAATTGTTCACTTCGACATTCCAACCACCTGAAGAAGGCTGGAGCATACAACGGCTGAAACGTTCTAATAAATATGGCGACAAAGATGAGGACATTAATCCGAATAATGTAAATAATGAAAAGCTTCAAATTCTTGTGGTCCGCTATATCAAAAGCAACCAACCAACACTGAACAAAATTTATTGCCAGTATAGCAGCATGTTTTAAAACGCATTTGACTAACTTTCAATGCTATTTTGCGTTTCTACCCTCTCTGCTTAGCTCCCTTATAGTGGGACGTTTGTTTGAAAAAATGCCATAGATGTTGACCATGTTTACCGCAGTCTCTGAATATGGAATTCAGTGAAGTCCGTAAGCTGTTCAATATCCGAGGTCGGCAGTGAAGATTCAGAGAAAGTAGCGGTAGCTAAGTAATTCTTTAAGTCTTCGATATCAGGTTGGCAGTGCAGACAATTTGGGAGAAAAAAATGGCTGCCTTTATACACGTCGCATTGAATATTTTGAGCTTTCTGATTGGTTAACTCTTCTATTGAACTATAAAATGAGTCAACTCATTTAGGCTAGTTCACTAGTACATACCCAAACAACTGCAACAATAGCTACAAAGGATGAATTTAAAATTTTAAAATAATTATAACAGAGCGCGTTTATGCGAGTTTTCAAAACACACAATCACAACGATCACAGTTACATTAGGTTTGTCTTTCCAGTTCACTCCTGACGATGACCTCGGAGCAGATCGAAGGTATTTGGGTAAGGAAAAACTTTGTTGATGAATTTCAACTTAACATCAAGAATCTGATTAGAGAACTAGAAAGAATAATTATTACCAGGCTGTTGATTATTTTATTCATTTATTTATTGGTTAAACTTTTATGCCTGTAAACTTATTGGTTCATTTTTTATGTAAATTGCTCAAGATATTAGGATGTTAATATAGACAGAAGACACCAAAGTAAATAAGGCAGAAGATTGCAACATATCAACATGATATGGACTAGAAATACCTGTAAAGATTTCACGTTTTTCCCATTTTAATTTTCTGATGAATCTTAATTCTTAATTTAACGACGGAATAATCTTATGACGAGTTCTACGTCAGTAAAATATCCGTAGAATTTCACCTGTCGAATTGTTACTTATTTAACAGTTTTAAGAAAATATTGCAATAACAATCATAAGTATGAACGCCGGTCATTATTTAAAGAAGTAAGGGGGTACAATTAAATTACATTGAAATAGACATTAAATACATGAGAGTACTATCGTCTCTTTTATCTTTCTCTCATTTTCTTACTGAAACCAAGTAGTGTTTTTTTATGTCCCTTGTGTCTTTCAACACGAGCAAAACGAAATAATCCTTTATTTACGTAATCCGTCCTGGGTATGACTATAAACTACATCCACATCCGATAGCAAGGCTTCTGATCAAGAGGTTTTGAGGAGCGGAGAACCACCTCTTAATTGCTGGTGTTCCTAGGTCCACCCTGACCCAGGATGGTAGCACCTGTTAGGGTCCCAGCTAGGGGTAAATAGTTAACTCCCAAATTGGGGTCAAAACACCATGAAAGTGTAAAAATAAGTTTTAATACCAGAAATACTATGTAAAATAAATATATTACCAGCGATACATTTTTGAAGAAAAAATTACCAGCAATAAACATCTTGCCGGCATTAAATAACCCATTGAGGTGTTGATATGCCGTAAAACAAAACAAGCCAAACCTAGATTTACGCAATGTAAATACTTGATGAATAAGTAGCTATGGTTGGGAGTAGAGTCGTGTTTCGAGGGTGGGGGGGTTGCATTTGATCCTGGTCATTAGCAAATGGATAAGATCTGACAAACAAAATGCGAAGTTCTTTGGATAAAGTTTTCTAAAGGTCAATATGATATGACTAAGGAATTTTGACAAGATGAATAGGTAGCAGCCGTGGGGACATTCAAGCCGGCCATACAGGGCGCGACTGATAAATTGTCGTCGAAATTAGGCAAAAATGAAAATAACACTGACATCTCATTTTAACAGATATTTTTACCAAAATTACACAAACATATCTTACAAATAGTAAAGAGTAAATGTCTTCAATATAATCACCATTGCCTTCAACCACAGCTTCCAAGTGACTTCGGGATCTCCTGCAACTCTTCTGGACGGTCTCCTTGTTTAATTTGGTGAATGCTCCCATAATCTTTGCCTTCAGTACATCTTTGCCGTTACAAAAATTGTTGTTGTTCTCTCACTCAAAGGAGGTTTCAGTCTGGGGAGTTCAGTGGCAAGATGTAAGGAGTAATCTGGTTACAGAAATTACCTGACGGTGTGGCATGGTGCAGAGTCCTGTTGCCAGACATAGAGTCTTCCAGCAGCCAGCCTCTTGACCCAGAGCAGCACTAACTCCTCAATATACTTGATGTAGGCCTCCGCGTTGAGTATGAGGCTCTCACCAATAAATTCAGGAGTACATTTCTCATCAGGACAATCAGAGTGAGTTTTCCGAGATGGCTTACAATTATCCAGCTCTTTCCGAATCCTCAGCACACTCCTCAGATTGACACCCAAACACTGTGAAATGTTCGTATTGGTGTTTCGGGCGCGAATGTCAAGCAGTATACCATGCAGTTTCCAAATTTCTGGTGGAGTGAATTGCGTCAGGGTGCTCTTTTTCTCACAGACGTTGCCCAACTGACCCTATTATATGTGCCGTAGACAAAATCAAAAACAAACAACGCGCATGCGCAAAATTAAAAATATAAAATGGCCATTTATCCATTGCCTCCCTGTGTATTTCTGATTTTGTGTCGGCGATGACAAACGAAATAACATGCAATAGTTAATGGCGAAATACTCTATCGGGCTTCAATAAATGCCGATATAAAATTTCGAGAGTTTTTATCCATTGCTAGGAGACCAGACTTAGACGTTACACTCATTATCAATATCTTTAAG